TGTTGAAGTATTAAAATAACTCAAATTAAATAAAACTAAAACTTAATAAAAGACCTATACAGACATAATTTAACTAAAATTTAAATAAATAACAAATACAAATAATACAAATCAAACGAGTAGTTTATCAGTAATGCTAAAAAATAACACTGCCAAACTTACATGCTAAAAAACAACAACTTACTTGCACATAGTAAGAAATGGTTATAAAAAACTGAAACAGAAGCGAAACAAGTAATAGGAAAGAGGAGAACTAAAAAGCGATACTTATTATTTAAATTAATTAATGAATTAATTAAATTAATACTTTCATTCTGCAAGGATGCATTAAATTGATCAAAAGTGACAATAACGGCTCAAATAAATGCTGTTCTTTCTATTCATCAAAGAATTCTGAAAAAAGTATCATGGTTTCCACAAAAATATGTTTTCATATTTATTTTTACAAATATTAACTCCAAACTTTGGAACAGTAATGTATATGTGCAAAGCTATGTGTGTAAAACTAAATCTGTATTAGACAAATTTTGTGAATAATAAAAGATTTATTTCATTGTAGTGCAAAATTTGCCATGTTCACTAATGGCCAATTAGCTGCGTTACCACAATTAAAGGAGTAGTTCACTTTCAGAATGAAAATTGTCATCATTTACTCACCCTCCAGTTGTTCCAAACCTGTATGAAATTTCTTTCTTCTGTTGAACACAGAAGATATTTAGAAAAATGTTAGTATCTGAACATTTGTTGGGCACCATTGACTTCCATAGTAGGAAAAAAATACTATGGAATTCAATGGTGCCCATCAACTGTACGGATACTAGCATTTTTCAAAGAAGGTCCACAAATTCCTATTTTAGTCCAGCCACGACAGCCTGCTGGGATTTTCTGTCCACCTGAATGTCAGAACGTGACATGATTAATGATGCAGAACAACCAGGCATTTTTTTTCAACTGTATTCTAAGCCCTAATTGTACAGTTTGGCATAATAAACCATTGATGTTGCACAGTCTGCCTTGACTTTTAAACTCAGTCTCACCGGGGTCACAAATCGTAAAGGCAATTGTACACCTGGCTTAACTAATAATCTAAGACTAAATGCAATTTAATAATGTTTCAAAGCTCACACTCAACTTACTGCATGCTTACAAGGCCACTGTAGGTCTCCATCACCTGACAAACAGCCTTTAAACATCCTGCCAAGTACCTGGACATTACAGCTGACCCTGAAAATAACCAACCTATCTCCCGTTATCCCTGGCCTGCATTTTTTTCATGGAATCATCAGCGAGCAATGATGGTCCATTAATGCGCTATAGCAGCGCCTGAATACATGACAGGGATGTTTCTCTTCCATTACCATGCTCATATCACAGGCCAGCTGCTGCAAATCCGAACAAATGCATTTCTGAATAAGAGGAATTAGAGAGTAAATGAGACACTTAATTGGAAAGTCTAAGTTGCTTTCAGTATCTCTTGTTTGGTTCGCTTGCTTTTGCTTTCTCTCTTTATCTCTCTATATCGCTCTGTGTCTCGCCTTCCTCCACTGCAGTCATTTGTCTCTCTCTCGCTCTCTCTCTCTCTCTCTCTCTCTCTCTCTCTCTCTCTCAATTTTACTCTCTTCTTTAGTCTGCGTCTCTCACTTTCTCTTTCTTCTGATGTTGGACTATTTCTCTTTAGCTCTGTTGCAAAGCTACCTGCATATGCAGCATTTTAAGGCATTATACAGTAGGTGCACTCTCTCTCTCTCTCTCTCTCTCTACAGTATATATATATATATATATATATATATATACACACACACATATATACACACAATTATCAAAATTATTAGCCCCCTTGGTAAATATGAGCAAAGCCTGCGAAAATAAATCTGAACTGTTTTAATTGATCTTTCATTCAAAAATTTCACAAGTCAAACCTTTCATTGAATTAAAACAAATGAAAATGGGGGGAAAATACACAGTTGAACCCCTAAAAATACCATCTTTTTGTCATTTTTCTAACTTCATAATCACTTATGAGGATGAATTTCAGTTATCATGGTAGAAAGAAGATGCCTACAGTATGTAGGAAGTTTGGCAGCCAGGCAGCTTTTCTGCAGTGGTTTGTTTGATTTTATTTTTCATGGCCCTTTCAACATACATACAGTCAAGAGTGACGTGAAAGTGGTGGGAGAGATAGGGAGGTTTTGAACCTGTATCTCTGTGTGCACAGCCACGCTTACTGTATGTGTTGTGAGCATGTGTGTTGTGCACTACCCACTGAGCAGTAGCTTCAACCTCACCATATTTTTTTCTGTGATTTCAGCTGAATTTCAATGTGAAACAGTCAGTTCCATTACCCCATATACACGCAATGAAATATTCATCGTCTGTCTCAGACTATTTGAGTTAGTAGGCCAGCAGAATATGCTGCACAGGCTAAGACTGCAGTGTCTCCCTGTTGCTCTTCAGCAAGCACATCACATACACCTCTGTCGCTTTCTTTCTCTCTCTCTCGCTCTCTCTCTCTCTCTCGCTCTCTCTCTCTCACACACACACACACACAAAAACATCCATCCAAACTTACAAACTATTTCAGTCACACTCTCAAGTCCCTGAAAAAGGATATCTGTCCTTCCCCCGCAACATTCGGTTTGCATTTTCAGCCTTTGGGTGGCGCTCTTACTATAAAAACAAAGAGCCTGGAGCATGCCTTCTGACTGACTGAAGGTCTGATTTTTCAATGCATTTCAACAAAGGCCAAGCAGTGTTGCCAATTCCCTCTGGATCCGGCAACTCATTTTGTGTGATACGGGCTACAGAAGCAGATGCATTATTTATAAAACTACTCTCCTTACTGATCAAACACCAGCACGCAATATTTATTTGAGCCGCTGGACATTGGGTTTCGCTGCTGTGATGCTGCTTGTGTATTATTGCTGATGGAATGAGAATGAACTCTGGGACTGTCTCCTAACACAATACAAATTATACGTTTTTCCCTGTGTTGTTATGCATTCTGGATACATTTCGAATGACTATACAGTGCATAAATGAATGAGTGTAGTATGCATGTCAGGCTTGATGTTGTTTGGAGCGGGTCTGTCTGTTTCATCAACCAGCGACAGATGGGGGTCAGGAAACCTGTTTGGAAACAATCAGCCTTTTTGCAGTTCTGCTTGGTGACGTTAGCGACACAAAATTGCTTTAAAGGGATAATACACCCAAAAAATAAAATTCTGTTTTTACTGTATTTACGCACTCTCATGGCCAAATCTATGACTGACTTTCTTCTGTGCAACACAAAAGAAGATATTTTGTTGTTTGTAACCAAACCCATTGACTACCACTGTGTGGACAAAATTACTCTGAAACATTTCTCAAAATATCTTTTATGTTTCACAGAAGAAATAGTCCTACAGGTTTGGAACTTTTTTGGAGTTTTTCTTTTTTGAGAATGAGAATTTTCTTTTTTGGTTAAAGTATCCCTTTAAGCCTTTAAAACAGAAAATGTGACTAAAATATTAGGGCTGTCAGAAGGTCACAACTGATTTTGTGTGATTTTATTAAATGATTTTTCTTTTGTATAGAAAACCTTTTTTGTTCGTGTAAATCCATTATAACATAATTTTAAATTACTTTAACCTAGAAACACATTTTGAGATTTTGAGTGTTCACTAGAGAAGGACTTTGTCACAGTGTAATTATGATTCTTCTCCAAACCTTTGTTGAAATATTATAATCATTTAAATGTTTCCTCTGTACTTTTAAGTGCATAAAACTCAAGATGATTCTCAAATTGATGGAGCAGATGGAGCATTGGAAGTACAGGGACCATTGAAGTAAAAAACAAACAAACAAACAAACAAACAGTTCTTTAGTTTATGGTTCTAAAATGATCTATTTATATAATTAAAGAACCATTAGTACACATCCAAATTTATGTAGTTTGTGGATGTGAGTCTGTACTTCTCAATCCTGTTTGAAAGGAGTATCTTTAAGATGGGTTTTATATCCACAACCTTTCTGCTACAAATGTACTGCTGTTTCCAATCCTCTGTGCTGCCTGTCTGTGAACCTTCAAGTGTCTTATATGACACGCCGTGGCCGCTAAGTAAGTGTGTAGCCATGTAATTGGTCCCCTGTATTTTGTAAGACTTACGTGTAATCAGTGTCTCCTCTTTTCTTCAGCTGCTGAACTCCGAGCAGATCTCTTTGATCCTTTGCGAGACGCTGATTGAGACAGTGTACAGCGAACGAGGACAGGTCCTCAAGTCTAAGGAGCGAAAAGTCTTTCTCTTCGGTGACATGCTCATCTGTGCCAACATCAACGTCAAGTACGTGTCCTGGACAAGGTTGATTTACTTTCTCTTTTTCCCTCCGCCTCTAAGGCCACGCTGACGGATTGACTCTCATCAGCCGATTTAAATATAGACTCCTGAGTATCCTGAAGCATTACAGTGACGTTCCCCAATATGCCGCAGTCAGTGTGAGGGGGTTAGCGGCTAATGGCTAAGGCACAGGACAGATTTGGGCAGAGTCAAATGGGCTTTCATTATCTGGGAACAAATAGCAGGGTGTTTTGCTACAGCGACACAAATTATCCCCATAGATCAAGGCATAAAGGCGCTCCTCTCTTTCACTCAAATAGATTATCTATGACAGCATCATTGATCACATCTCAGAAGTGCAAAAGGTAAACAGCTAAGTGAAAAAGCTCACGCTGATGCTGAATCTCAAAGCTTTTTTGCTACTCCTTCTACTGCAGCACGGTTCGTCTCTGTTCTTCTAAAGTGCGACTCGACATGCCCATTTAGAAGATCATAGCAAGGTGATCGCGATGTTGATCTCACATTGCAAGAATACATGAATAATAACAAACCCTCCAACTAGCTGGAGGTCCAACCCTCCGCAATGCACTCATAGGGAGAAATTTAGCTCACCACTTGCTCACCAATGGATCCTTTGCAGTGAATGGGTGCCATCAGAATGAGAGTCCAAACAGCTGATAAAAACATCACAATGATCTGCAAGTAATCCACACGACTCCAGTCCATCAATTAACGTCATGTTTGTAATAAACAAATCAATGATCAAGGCTTTTTAACTTAAAACCGTTGCGTTCAGTTTAAATTAGAGTCCTATATTCACAGTATTGCTTTTTACGGTGTTCGCAAATTTTAATTTTTTGGTGAACTATTACTTTAATAGCAAGTCTTGTCTGATACCCAAAATCAGTAAACAAAACTCTACTTTGTTTGGTACCCAAAACTGTAATAACAGTCTTCTGTCTGCCTAAGAGATTGATGGATGAAGCCAGTGAAGAGCACAAAAGCAGGAGACAAAGTGATGATTATAAAAAAATGAGCAGGGTTTATTGAATAATCTTGGTTCAGTATGTTTTGATGTTCTGACTTCATCCCTACTTCGTCTGGTCTTCATTTGGACTGGACTTCATCCTGTACTTTATCTGACCACTACAAATCCAACAATTGTTATTCTAACAAAAGCCATTGAAAATTACTGCTAATGGAGGCATTATCTTTTGAAGATAAATATCCCTTGAAACCGTACTATTATAATATTAAACAAGAGCAATACAAATAAGTAAAACAATAAGTAATATAATAAAAATGAACAAATGATTGTATGATTAAATGGTATAATTAAATAATAAATGATTAGAATTCAAATAGAAACAAAGAACAAACAAAGAAAATAAAACAGCACCGGTATTGTTGCCTTGTTGACGCAACACACACAGGTTGCTGCTGAGATTCTTTAGACACATAAGTAAAATGAAGAATATTGGAATATGTTTTACATGAAAATACTGTTTCAGTCAGTATAATTCAATGCGTTAACTTGCTATTTCTTTGGAATTTTGTATATTTGAATTTTACTAGCAATTTCTGAGTCAAAATTGTTTCAAAGTAAATCATACACCCTTTTTTCAGTGTGATCAGTCAGGTTCCTTTATTTGAATAATTATGCGAAACCATTTCTATAACATGATCCTCTTGCCGCCACCAGGGGGCCCCCTGACATCAGCAGTCTGGTTCCAGTAGGTCCCAAGTACACCCTGAAGTGGAGCGCCCCCTTGCAGCAGGTCCAGGTAGTTGAAGTGGGTCAAGAGGGCACCCAGACTAAGGATACTCTTTATCAGCTTGGAGGCGTCAAGCGTCCTGGTGGCTCTTCGGGATCAGGTAATGGCAACGCTGTTTGCGCTGCTACTTTCTAAACAATCAGATAACATGCAGCTTTGATGTGAGTCTCTTAGACATTTTGAATTAATTGGCCATTTCTTGTGAGCAATGCACCTTTTTATGGCCTCCGCAGATGAGTGTATCTCAGGCCAGGTAGATAAGAACAACAGAGGCACAGTATAAGCAATCTTATTTCACTGTCTGATAGAGATAGACCACAAACATGTTCAGCGTACTGTCATCAGTTTTGGCACATTATTTCCACCTCCACTCCCAATCAGAGAGAGCAAGTTCAGGAGATTGGAATCAGGGCTGAACACTCTTAGAAAACATTATTGTGTTTTGTATTGGAAGACGAGGAGGAGGAAAAGAGCAATTGTGGGGCACTAAGATAAATATGCTGACAGAGCTCCAGGTACAAAGTGTTATCAGTATGTACAGGTTCTGGCTGTTTAAGCATTTACTTTGCGAGCTGAAATATTAATGGTGTTGTCTGTGGAACACCCATGCTGGATTGTGCGCACAGGGGAGCCAGGAAATTAGATGACAGAAGATGTTTAATGCCGGGGCCTAGCAGACAGCTTGCGAGCAGGAGTCTTTAGAAGACCTCTTCTGCCCCCTATACCTTATTTCTCTTGGAAATCATTATAAAACAGTGTTCTGTCCAATTTATCTGCCTTCGTTCTTTTCCTGCTGTTTTATAACTCAGCAGTAGTCTCCCATCTACTTCATATTTCTAATTTTCGCCAGCTTTCCATATCCCTAAATTTTATTTAAAGTACTGGCATGATTATTTCACTTAAAATATTGCCAAATAATCAATACAAGAAATAAAAATAGTGACAGGAAAAATATATAATAAATATTTAATATGTTTTTTTATTTTATTAATTAACAGCCTATATTTTTATATACACTACCAAAAAAAATAAAATAATTGGGGCTAGTATTTTTTAAAAGAACTTTAACACTTTTATTCAGCAAAGATGCATTAAACTGGCAAAATGATTGTAAAGACATTTATAATATTAAAAAAGTTTTCTATTTTAAGTAAATACTGTTCTTTTGAACTTTCTATTCATCAAATAATCCGCTATTCATCAAATAATTTCTGTTGATCAAAAAAAGCATCACTGTTTACACAAAAATATTAAGCAGCACAACTGTTTTCAGCATTAATAATAAGAAGAAAAGTTTCTTGAGCACCAAATCGGCATATTAGAATGATTTCTGAAGGGATGGTTATATGACACTGAAGACTGGAGTAATGGCTGAAAATTCAGCTTTAGCAGCACAGGACTAATTATGAAATATATTAAAATAGAAAACAGCTATTTTAATATTAGTGTTTGTAATATTAGTAATATTAGTGTTTTTATTGTATTTTTGATCAAATAAATGCAGCCTTGGTGAGACTTTTGAAAATATTCAAAAATCATACCGACCCCAAACATTTGAAAAGTAGAGTATCTTTAACAGCAGTTTTTAATGTTTTATTTAATTTTATTTAAGAACAAGGTGCAGTAAGGCTAGTACAAATAATAATATCAATGTACAATAAAATAAAAAAAAATTAAAAAGACATTAAAATACAGTTACAAGAAAATATAGACTGTTTTCTGAGGATGTGCAGGTCAAATGTGATGATGAAATGATCACAGTGAAGGATAAAGTCTCCTTCTCAATCTCACCAGTCTCATAGTGTGCCACAGAAGCTTTCTTCTTTTCAAAACCTTTTTGTTTTTCTATGACTACTAGACTGGTCACGGAGCCTGTATTCGGTGAGGATCCGTTTCACTATCTCTTACTGTGTAGAGATAAAAGGCAGTGTTTCCTCTCTTACTCTATTCAATGACCTCTTTTCACTGTTAGCGCACACTTCTGGTTATGTAACAAGAAGCCGCCACTTTAATCACTATTTTCCAAACCAATTTGTCGTAGTCTGGCTCACTGTGTCTGAGATGTCCATCTTCAGTTATTTATAGCAGCACATAGGCATACAACCCTGTTTTGCCTGGTTCGCGCCACATCTCTCCTCTGCCCAAACCAGATCCCATGCTCCCCCAGCATACCTCAAAATAGACTCATTTTTCATCTCCTGCAGGCCCCAGTGCCCTAATTTATTGATGGAATAGGACAACATTCCAGGAGGAGCCAGGCCCTCTTCTGCTGCCACTGTAAAGCAGCACAAAACAGTAGGATACTGCAAATTTTAAAGGCCCCTGCGAATCAAGAGATGGGACCTGTCCTGGGGGAGCTATACATAAGCATTTTTATTGGGGGGTGAGAATGTATTCCTAATGGAGACATACTGTATTATACAGTGATGTTATTTATTTGGACAATTTTTTATATATATATTTGTTTCTAGACTTATGCCATTTAGACAAAGTAAATATAATGGACTACAGCAAGTCCTATTATTATTATTATTACAAATTACATTGTTAATATAATACATATATAATGAAATAATATATATAAATTATTTTTACTTATTCTGTTTTTAATTTGAAATGTATAATATAATATAATATAATATAATATAATATAATATAATATAATATAATAATATTTGTTTCTAGACTTCTGACATTTAGACAAAGTAAATATAATGGACTACAGCAAGTCCTATTAGTATTATTATTATTATTATTATTATTAATAAATTATACTTTTAACATATTATGAATACCTTTATTATTGATATTATTTTTTACTTATTCTATTTTTTGTGAATTGTGTATATTAAAATCTACATAATATATACTTTTTATTATCTACATGTATATTTAGATAACTATGTTGCAGTTTTAATTTGGCATCACCCTTTGGTTCCTGGAAATTATCACATAATTGTTTCCTCAGCGACCATGCATATCATTTTTATATTTGTTTAACCCTTTAACTGTCACTCACATTTTTGAACATAGACGTGAAAGTGCACGATCCAAACTTAAATTTTTAGAATTCATGAACGAAAACATTTTGTAACATGATATTGATGTACCATTTATGGGTTTCAAAGGATGAATTTTGAGATTTAAAGTTTTCAATTGATATATAATTTCTGATGATTTCTAAAGTGTGATAGAGAAAAAGGCAACGAAGAAGACTTTTTGCTACAAAGGTCAGAACTCCTGTTATGATGTAGATTTTTGAGGTGCACTCTTGTCATAAATTAATCTATTACTTTTCCTACATAATTTTTTACAAAAACATTGGTAAAATATCTATTTAGGAGACCTTTCCAACGATATATAGTTTGTCATGATTAGATTAGGATTTCATTGTAATATAGTGAAGTAAACTTAGGCGGGTGACAGTTAAAGGGTTAAACGTGCCAGACAGATCCTTGCTAAAATTGTATGTGTAAAAGCACTTTGATGTGGATGTCTAAAAAGAGCACAGATGAGAAACCCAGATTTTAGCTGCCTTTCTGGCAAGAGCTTTGTTGACTAGGTTTTGGATTTCTGTATTGGGCCTGCATAGGCCTCTGCTGGCGGCCACCCAGCGCGTGTGTCAGCTTACATATGACAATGTGTTTGAGAGAGATAGACTAGTGGAAATGGCAGAATACCATGCCATAGTGTGAAAAAAACAGATCCCGCCACACCAATTGGATTAGTCTGGATTACAAGTCAGCACATTCACCTGAGGCCAAGGTGGGCCACAAGCCTGCAAACCTGTAGGCCTGCCTAAGGCTTTTCCACAGCAACCAGAAGAGCACGTAGACTCTGCCAGCTTGCGCTGTAGGGGATCACTATGCCTTTTTTTTCAAATGTGCCTGCTATTGATCAAGCCGTGCCAGTGACAGATGTCTCTGTGACTGTGTGAGTTGAAGACCCTATTAAATTTCTAAAGGTTAGAGAGAGACAGACAAAACAGCGAGAGAAAGATGTAGAAGTGTAGAGAGAAGGGGATGCAAACCCAGACAGACAGTGAAAGACACAAAGACAGGAGAAAGAGCCGAGAGAGAGAAATGGTGTGTCAGAGACAGAGAGATCTCTGACAGACCTTGCAGCAGTACTTCGAGGATTAGGTTGAGCTGGGGGCCAACAATTGCCCGCGTCGCCCCAATTCTGCACACAGGTCACCTGATTATGCGGAGGTGGTGAAAGGCCAGACAGTCCTGCAGTCTTCGCATCCAGCTCCGAGATTTAATTACACTCCTCATTCCCGGGCTATTGGTCAGACGTGTAGAGCAGATTCACCCCGGCTATTGATTCTGCAGGCAGAGACTGCAGAAAGCGAATGGGGATTCTTATCGATGGTACATTTCACGTCTAATGAGACACCTGTGTTCATTTCGTCACCATTAAAGGGCTTCATATTTCTAAATGGCTTCATTTTGTACTCTGCTCCTTTTCCCTATAGCATTAACCTGTGTGGCTACACAAACAATGGGAGATCGATCTATCTTCGGTATCGATTCTCTTTGTTAGTGGTGCTACTGGAGAGTATTGACAAATGAAAGTTTTGTCATAGACCCAAAGTCTTTAAAAGTTAAGGGCTTTGATTTTGTTTAGATTTGGATTTGGCCAAGTTTTCAAGTGAAAGCTTAGAACACAATCAGTCTGTCTTCCTCAGGTTCTGAAATTCACCTTTTATGTCATTAGACCGCTGTGCAAGTTGCAGATCAATTATCTGAAATAGAGGAATGTGCATTGTATAGGAAATGCTAAAGTGTTTTTTTTATTTGAGAGTAGCTCACAGTGTAACCGAGCCGTCCCGACTCAATTACATATTCGAATGATTCAGCACCTTACGGGAACCCATATCCACAGAAATACAATCTCAGCTATCGAGAACCCTGGAGTGCAGGTGCTTTTCGCACTCCGGGGTTCATGCTCCGATAAAGCATGGTGTGCAGTTTAAGTACTGGATAAGTAAAGCTGGTTGTTTTTGATTGACAGGAAGTATCATTCTGGGTCCGCCCCGTCTGTATCAGGAACTGCAGGAGTTGCAGCATGACCTCTCAGTGGTAGAGCAGGTCACTCTGCTCGTGGGGACTTTACAGGGAACGTACCAGGTAAATACAGTTCATTGCCGCATGTACAGTGGGCCCATGATGCATGTATGAAGGGAAATTATGTTACACATTGAAAATCACCATTGGGTGATTTAGTTAGAAAAGTAAGTTAAAAGTAATTATAAAAATGGCTCATAAGCTAAAGTTTGTAATGAATGAATGAATAAATAAATATACATTTCAAAGGTTTTAAATGTATAATGTATATAAATATTAGCCTGTATTTGCATGTATTTGCAATATACATGTACAATACCTTTAAAAGTTTGGGGTCGGTGGAATTTTTTATGTTTTTGAAAGAAGTTGCATTTTTTAATTAAAAATACAGTAATATTGTGAAATGTTATAAATTATAAATTATATATTAAAAATATCTGTTTTCTATTTTAATATAAAGTGTAATTTATTTCTGTGATGGCAAAGGTGAATTTTTCCATCTTGTGCAAAGCTGAAGCATCTTGTTGTATGATTATGATTATTGTTTGCATTTTAATTGTATATGTAAGTTTTGTGTTTTTATGAGAAGCCAAAAGAAAATTTCCACATTGGTGGATAATAAAGTTCAATCAATCGATCAATCCTTCAGAAATCATTCTAGTATGCTAATTTGATGCATCAGAAACATTTGTGCTGCTTAATTTTCTTTTCTTTTTTTGAGAAAAAATGTTTTTTTTCCAGGACCCTTTAATAAATAGAAAATTCAAAAGAACAGCATTTATTTGAAATAGTAATATTTGTAGCATTATAAATATCTTCAATATCTTCAAATATCTACTGTCATCAATTTAATGTGTTCTTGCTGAATAAAAGTACCAATTTCTTTCAAAAAACTGACCCATCTTACTGACCCCAAGCTTTTGAACGGTATTGTAAGTTATTGTGTATAGTTACTTGCACACATCAACTTTAAAAATAAGATCAACTGTGTTTTTGAATAAATAAACAGAATTTTCATTATGAAAAAGCCTAAGTTTTCAAAAATAATAAAAAAGAACAAAGTCCAGGAAAAGATTAAGGTAGAATTTATTAAATGGCAAAACAAAAGCTGTATTAGTTACACATGCTACAACCATCTGGGGTAACACCGTTTTTCAGCAATTAAATTGTGATCAAAGTTCGGCAACCAAAGACATGGATCATCAGTTGATTATCATGGCATGCGCTTGATAGTTGGATGACAACACGGGGAAACCTTCACAATCTGATCTGGAGTTAATGTTCAGATGGGAGATAGCTCTGAATGGCGTGTCTACATAGCACAAGGCTTCTCTCAAATCAGGACAGCTCCCCTGATGGCTTGACAGCCAGTAAGCCAGTACAAAAACAGCGAGATTGCTTTTTTTTTTTTTTTTTTACCTCTGAGCATTGTGTGAAAACAGTAACAGAGCTTTGTCTTGCATGGTTTCCTGACCACAACCGTGCCTTTGGCCTCTCTCCAAATGACTAATTCCTACCCACAAACTAATCAGAATATAAATGTGCAGCAAATAGAGAATGAGTGAACTTCTGCAGACCTCATTGATTTTGGAGATGTATTTCAATTGGATTTGGCTTTTGGGAGGTGTGAATAATTTTGTTTATGAGAGAGAAACGTTTATTATTTCATCAATACTTGGAGGCCAAAAACATATTTAACATAACAACGAAACATAAAAGATGCAGTTAATGTGATATGATGCAATGGTTTTTACCTGGTTACAGGTCTGTTCTGATATGGGCAGCTGTGCTAAACAATGCTAAATGCATATAAAATACAACTTACCAAAAGTGGCAGTAAATATTTTATATAGTGTGTTTGCTCGGATCACAATTGTCTTTCTTTGCTGTGTTTATAGAATCTGAACACCACTGTAGCACAGGACTGGTGTTTGGCTCTGCAAAGGCTGATCCGCATCAAGGAGGACCAAATTCAGAGTGCCAACAAGTGCCGTTTACGATTGCAAGTCCCTGGCAGACCAGACAAGTGAGTAAACGGGGCAAAATCTTCTTTGCATTTTGACAAAGTTGGTCATTTTTCTTCAGCATGCTCGATAAAGTGAATGCACATTTTAATGCGTTCAGATATTTGTTATAGCCATATCTAATTCAAAAAACACATTTTCCTAATTTCCTTGTTCTCCTGATAGATTACATTTGCCTCAAGAAAGTTAGTAGTAAGACATGTTGCTAAATGGCTTTTGAGATCCAAACAAGAAAAAACTATTTTATCTCGATTACACCACAGCTTGATTTCAGGCCAGCAGTCTTATACATTTTCTGGAGCAGGTGATCCCAAGCAGCACTGAAACATAATGGCTGATGACAAACATGTTAATGTTCATCTGCAACAAGGTTAAGATGATGAAGGAGCCCGATGCCATGTTAATTTCCCCTAATGAAAGCGCATTACCCGGCTTTATTTGCGGCATGCGTTAAAAACCTGCCCCTTGTCACCTTTAATGAAGCCGAGCAGCGAATTACAAGCCGAATAGCATGATGGAAAATCATTAAGTGATAGTTTTCAGATTCGAGAGATCAAGGAATGCTGGAGGTAAAGTTAAATAGCCCCTTTCAGTCTAGGAAGTGCTACATTATGGCTAGTCACAGAGCTTATTCAATTAATTTAACTTAGTCTGGGAGCTGCTGTTTCCCATTTGGAGCAGTAGTGTCATTTCTCTTTGATGCATAGACAGGGGCTTTAATGTACTCTTATTATGTCACATTAAGAGTCAGTGAATGTAAATGTGTCGAGGCGGAGGCTGCACGTTTTTCACAGTGCGCTGCACCTGAATGTGCTTATCTTAATGATGCAGAGTGAGAGCGGAAACTTCACTCATAGAATCGGCCATGGAAGGAAGAGAAATAAAGACAGATTAGTGGAGGATTCAACTAAGAAAAGAGCTGAGGAGACGGGGAGAACATGAGAGAAGAGAAGCAGCGAGAAAAGAAGATAAACTGTAAAGCATAGATCAGTTGATGTTCATTTAACCTTCATGTTCTGTTAAGATTATATTTGAGGACTAAAGAGACTCCAATGATTTACATGCAAAAATAATACAAGTCATTTAAAAATTTAATGTTTTACCTTCAAATTTTAAATGGGATAGTTCATCCAGAAATCTGCCATCATTTACTCACCCTCTTGTCATCCTGTAAGAGTTTCTTGTTTTGCTACAGTCAAAATACAAAACAACACTGGACCCCTTGACCTTCATTGTATGGACTTAAAGACATTTTTCAAAATCATTTCTTTTATGTTCCACAGAAGAAAGAAAGTTATACAGGTTTGGAATGACATGAGGTTGAATAAATGATTTAATTTTTGGATGAATTATCCCTTTAATAAATGCTGATGGTTTATTTTAGAGCCTAAAGACATGAGGGTTAAAGCCAACTCACGTGAAAGTTCAACACAAAAATATATTTAATTTGATCCTCACTACCCGAATACAAAGATAAATAGTGCCTTGCAAGCAGAGAGAAGCTACATGGGACTGATTTTCTGCCTTTTCACATGGAAGAGACTTAGCAGAACGTTTAATCTCTGTGTGCTTTCTCAACCTAATGTGACAGACCAACCGGCCCAGAGCGGCTCAGTACCCTGTAGTCCTCCCAATATCTGTCAGACCCCTGCTCACGTTCTGTAGAACCCAAAAGAGCAATCTGCTCAGTCAAATGTTCACCAGAACCCCTGCCCGGCTTCCAGAACAGGCATACTACCTGAATTTTCCATTGCCTTTGTCAGCCTGTGATGTCATAATGCATTGATGTCATTAGTACAGGA